ATACAGTTAGTGTATGACATTCAGGACACCATGTAATGCTGCATCATATTGCATTACAAGATGGGACAGTTAAATGCTTTGAAGGAGGGTGTTTGAGATTCTTCCTTTGCTTGCATCTTTTCTCAAGTGTGTTTTTCCTGTATTTCTCTGTGGCCAGTATTTGTTTTCCGTGAATTCCCTCAGAGTATCTGATGAGGACAATGCTTGTCTGCTTGGAAATGTCTTGTCATTTTAGTTTCACATCTCAGTTGCTACAAGAAGTGCAGGAGTTGCAGATCAGCTCAAGCTGTTTCTCAGATGTTTGGTGATTCATAAGGGACCAACCTCCAGATGCTGAGTTTGCACTAACTGTGTGTCTGTGTCTATCTAACCCAGTTACCTCTCCAAAACTGCACTGACAATTCCATTAGAAAACTAGTGCTTTTGGTTCCAGTCCTGGCAACACCCATTCAGTAACACACCACTTGAGACTGTAACATGTGATTGAATGGAGATTGAATGTAATGTAGTGTGTGGGGGAGAGTTAAGAGGGAACTGGACTGTTTCAAAGCTCTTGAAAAGTCTACTTCAGTAGGTGAGGGCTCTGAATGACTTTGCATTTTATCTCATGTGAAGAGTTGCAGAATCAGTATTTATGGCCATTCCCATCAACCAGAGTTTGTTCTTGTACGGAAAAGGAAAATCTTGATATTGTCATGTTTTTATATCTCCTATTTTGCTATATTGAGAATTCTGTCCCCATGCTTCTTTCAAGCCTTCCCTCTATAACACAGAATCACAGAATCACAGAATGATTGAGGTTGGAAGGGACCTCTGGAGACCATCTAGTCCAACCCCCCTGCTCAAGCAGGGTCACCTAGAGCACGTTGCCCAGGATTGTGTCCAGGCGGGTTTTGAATATCTTCAGGGAAGGAGACTCCACCGCCTCTCTGGGCAACCTGTGCCAGTGCTCTGTCACCCTGACAGTCAAGAATTTTTTCCTCACGTTCAGGTGGAACTGCCTGAGATTCAGCTTGTGCCTGTTGCCTCTTGTCCTGTCCCTGGATGCCACGGAGAAGAGTCTGGCCCCATCCTCTTGACACTCCCCCTTCAGATACTTGTACATAATTGATGAGATCGCCTCTCAGTCTTCTCTTCTCCAGGCCCAGCTCCCTCAGCCGTTCTTCAGAGGAGAGAGGCTCCAGTCCCCTAATCATCTTGGTAGCCCTCCGCTGGACTCTCTCCAGGAGTGCCATGTCTCTCTTGTACTGGGGAGCCCAGCACTGGACACAGT